GAAATCATGTAAGTGTATGATTTTTTTTTTTTTCATATTGTGAAGCATGATCCTATGAATTTTTACTCAAAAGAAAAAGGCATTGCTATTTACAGTTATAAGAATTACTCATTTACAGTCGTTTGGATATTTTTGCCCCTCGGTATTACAAAGAGTACTAAAACACATAGTTTCAAATCATTTCTTTCTCTTCTCCTTCTTCAACTCTCAAAGAAAAAAAAACCCAAAAATCATAATGTCAAACTTAGATCTACAATAATTTGGAGATTAAAAAAATAACGGAACAAGAGAATCAAGCACCAGAAGGCTCGACCTCAAATTTGGTATTCTTTTTTTTTTTTTTTGCATTCATTGAATATTACGAGGGGAAAAAAAACCGTTCTGGACAGGGGTAGCCGGCAGCAAATCGGCTACCCCTTGAGAGCTAGCCGGGTCAAAACTGAGCAAATTTTTTTTCTTTTTTTTTCAATTTTTTTATGTTATATTCATTTTAGTTATTATTAATAACTTTTTTTTAATAATTAGTTTGTTTGAATGAATAGTGTCAATCTTTATTGTTTAGATTTTTTTTATTTAATTAAAAAAATAAATATTATTAATAATGATTATTTATGTAAATTAAATTTTTTGTAGTGGTAATTACATCTTTGTATTGTATTTATTAATAATATTTGTTAGTGTGTAATAAATGTAATTTAATTTAAATTATATTTTTTATTTAAATGAAATTTAATATAGTATTAATTGACTATCATGTAAGGTAATTAAATTCTCGAATGGAACATTTTCTTCGTCAATGACATCCTCCCAGTCCAGACTAGCCTGATCAAATATCTCGTCAAATCTCTGTGGACTAGGCCCAACCATCAATGTAGAATCAGGTACAACTGGTCTTTTTCGGTCTTTTTTCTTTAACCTAATAAAAATTAATATAACACATTAATTAAACATATGATCAAATAATAATAACATCTTTAAATTATAACCCATTTAAAATATTGCTAAAATAATTATAACACATAAATTAAAACATGCTCTAATGTTTTAAAATATAGCAACTACTTATTTAAAACTACGGTAAAAAAATTCAAATAATATGATATCTTTAAATTATATCCTATTTAAATTATTACTACAATAATTATAATACATAAATTAAAAGATGCCATAACTATTTAAAATATTATAACTAATATAATTAAAACTATATTATTTTTAAAATTCTAATTTATACTTCTTATTCAAATTTATTTAAATTAAAATAACATGAAAACCAATAAATAAAACATAATCAATAATATATAATAAAATATAATTAAAACTAATTATTGAAAAATAAAATCAATAAATAAATTAAATATAGCAAAAATAATAACAAACACGATAAATATATATAAAAAAAACTAATTACTCAGGGGTTGGGTAACTCCCGTGGGATCGGCTACCCGGAGGAAGGTAGCCGATCTGGGACCCACCTTTGGAAGAGTAGCCGGATCAAAATCGGCTACTCTACCAAAGATAGCCGGTCTCGGATCGGCTACCTAACAAGGGGGTTACCCAAACTGGGGTAGCCAGCCATTCTATAAATTTTATTTTCTTTTTTTCGAATTTTTCGATAACAATTTTGATTAAAAAAAAAAAACTTACCGGTGCACAGGGTGAGCTTCCCGATGTTGTTTGCCTCGATCTTCCATTTTTTTTAGCTTCCGAATCTTTGTATATTTAGGTTTAAAGATTGGGTTTTTGGGTTTGAATGTGAAGGAAGGAGAAGAAGGAAGAAGTAGGGAGAAGGGCATAATGTCCAATCGACTGTAAATGTGTAATTTTTTGGACTGCAAAAAATAATTCAGAAAGAGAACTGCATATAAGAAAGGGAAAAGGTAGAGAAAAAAAGAGAATGAACGTTGCGTTCATACAAATGAAAAGTCCCATAAATATATACCTTAACTTCTCCACTTCAAGTTAAAATAACATCATGTAAGCTAGCTTTAGAAGAGGCATATTCTTTGGATCCAACTAAACTACATGCGTAGACAAATTGCAAGATGCTCCAGAGCTTGCGGTCGCTAATAATCACTTTTCTTTTGGAGACACAAACATTAGTTCAGAGAGTAACAATAACTAATTTACTATCTTAGTTTTACTTATGTAGTATATATATATATTTTTTTGGTTAACATGTAGTATATGTTATTGGAAATAAAAGCTATTTATAAATGAATAAAAAATTTATTTCTCATATAATTAGAAATAGATTATAAGTTAACTAATGTTTTATTCGTGTAAAGGTGCAACCTAGAGGAATGCCGGACGTAACTCGCGGACTTGATCAACTTGTTTTTTTACCAAGATTTCCAATCAATTTAGATGGAGTTGTTTGACAGAATTTACATAAAACCATCCATTCTCATCAGTTTTGCATATGAGAATAAATTGTTTAATTTATTTTGTTTAATATGGCCGAAATAATGGAATTAAAGTTGTTGCAATTAATCAAATTAATTTACAAAAAATTCTAGCATTTTTGTTAGCCTCACTTTCCCTATAAGATTTAGCTTATTTCCGGAATTCTATAATCCAAGAAATATCAAATATTTCTTTCTTATTTCATTACCCAAACATCCTTTACATCGTTAGTATTCGTTAGCATTCATCACGTTTTTCTAATTATAGTTCGAGCATGAGAGGTTGTTTTGTAGAACGTAGCCTTCATAGTCTCCATTGTATTCTGGAAATAGTAGTTCCGTTTTTTCTAGCACATTTGTGAGGGAGTTAAACTGTTTTAAGGACAAGATAGCTACATGTGTCTTAAATGGAGTCCGTATCCAGTGCACCCGAGTATACCGTATACTTCCATCAAACACACGCGTTACACGCATTCAACGTTTTTCACCTTTATATTAACTGATGGTTATCTACCCATTTCAAACTGGTTATCCACAAGTTGTAAACTGGTTATCCAGAAGGTGTAAACTGATTATCCACAGTTCCCAAACAACAAAACAAGGAGTCAGAGAGGGCTTCCAAAAAGACATAACAAAAGAAAATATCCATAAGAAAATGGCTATCCAAACGGCATGTTCATTGGGGGGCTTCGCCCCCCATGATAAACTAAACGACTCCCGCGGCTACCGGAATCGCAGGTCACCAACCTGCCCCGGCTGCGCCGGTCCGGCGAACACGCTAATGTAGCTAAGGTAATCCTTTTTTCGTGTGTGCGTAAGGAGACTGTGTGTGTAAGGAGACTGTGTTATTGCGTTAAGAGGGGACACAAATTACTTGTATAAATCCTCCCGTGATAAACTAAACGACCCGGCTGCGCTAGTGCCCGCGGCTGAATGAGGGGAAGTTTGCTAAATGATGGAGAAAAAAAAATGAATGAGGGGCAGCTGGATAACCAGTGTAAAAAATACAGACAAGGATATCCAAGAAAAATATAAAAGGAAAAAAATGAAATTTGACAACTGGTTATCCAGCTGTGTGTAACTGGTTATCCATAATGTGCATACTAGTTATCCACTATGTCCATACTGGTTATCCAACAGGTTAATAATGGTTATTCAGCTGTGTGTAACTGGTTATTCATAGTGCCAACACTGGTTATCCACATGGTGAACACTGGTTGTCCATAGTGTGTAGCTGGTTATCCATAGTGTGCACACTGGTTATCCAATATCCAAAATAAATGAATTCGTTAATTTATATATGCCGCGTTTAAAAAAGAAGAAAAAAAAAGATGAATTATCTAGCGAACTCACGCTATTCTTAGAGAGTAAAGTACACGCACAGGGGGGTACACGGTGCCCTCGGGTGTACCAGATAATTTGCCCGTAAATGCTCCCTTCTCCTATTGTTAGATTCTTTTTTTCGTCACAGATATTTTTAAATACATTTTAGCCGAAGGTAGATAGCAATCTGGTAAAAGAAATGCATAATCTAATGTTTACTCTCACAATTTTGCAAGCAATGACAAAACTAACTTCGGACATTCCCACGAAGGAGTATACAGAGAAATTAGGATTTTTTTAAATATATAAAAACTTTAAAGGTATGTTTGGTATCATGAGTAATAAATCAGAAGGTGATAGTGATGATTTCATTAAGGGGATTAGAAAAAGGCCTTAGATTTTATGCCTACAAACACTAGCATCGTCAAGTCAACAAACTCTATATTGAAATTGTAGATCGATAGTTGTCTGTATCATTCTCGATATCTTAATAAGTCATTTGAAAAAATATGATGGAACAAAAAATATATAAAACCCGAAAATGATGGGAGCAATAAACACTTTTCATTAATTTGGCAAAAAAGAAAGATATAAGGTTATTATAGGAGAGATGAGACGATAAGGGGGTTTTTACGCACCAAAGAGTTTGTTGTGTACGTTTACATTTAAGTAGGGTTCACTGAAAGTAATATTTTTTAAAAAATAAATATAAGAGAGAAGAAACAAGAAAGATAAGGAAAGAGAGAAGAAAGAGAAAATAATTTTATTTTATTTTTTAGAGAAAAGAATTCAAAAGCTAAATCTAACGAAACCTGTGCCAGAGATGTAAATGAATCGAGCATGAGAAAAAAAAATTCAAAAGATGAATCCGACGAATCCGTAGGTCTTCAAAATTCCAATCCAAATTCATTACCCTGAATACAGTACCCGTTAACCATAACAATCTAATGAAATAACGAATATTGAATCCGATACTAAGACAAATGACTCCTATGGCTATGACTTCTTTTATACGGTTTTCTCGACTAATTAGAGGGTCAAGCCACCTTTTTAACCCTCTCGTAATTTCACCCCTATGATTTGTCACACTAAACAAAACAAGATATTAAAAGTTGAAAGTTAACGTACCATTTTGCAATTTAATCAATTATAAATCTAGACTTCCCCAGCCAAGCTCTCATCTTCTCCAGAAACTTTAATGATAATGATGATGAATTGATGATGATAATCTAACACTATCCCAGTAATCGAACTCGGAAGTTCAGTGCATAAATGGAATCAAAAGCATTCAACGTTATAATCAGTCTACCCTTCAATCTTCGCTGTAAATATTCAATCTTTCGCCCATTGTATCATTCCTCAGCCAGACCGAAGTTGAAATGTTTTCCATCTTCCTCGTGGTCAAGCTGGAAACCCTCTTCATACTTCTCTCCATTGTGCACGCTAAGTGGGTTAAGTTCACAAACTCGTTTTCTTTTATTGAAATCCCATTACTCGAATTAGGATTTGAATTTGCTCCGGTGGTTATCTTGAAAATTTTTGGGTTTTGCAGGTGAAAGAGGCACTGTGAATGCTTTACCTAAGGGAGCTGGAAACGCAGTAAAGGAAGCTGGAAATGATAGAATTCTTCAAGTGGTGTTGGTTTCTCCTCAGGTTAGTTCATAACCTCAATATTCGACTTCAGGTTGTTAATTTCTAGTGATGCTTGAATGTTAAACCAAGGTGGAAAAAGGTCGATTTTGCTCTTAGACTTCGGTTTTGGAATGTGTTACCATTTCAGTTGTATGAATAGAGACATGGAAACTGAATTACAAACGGACAATCTGTGTGAAATCCTTTTTGTGGGAATTTTTAATTTATCCTTGTTGCGTTTCCTAAAGGTTTCCTTGTATCAAAACTGGAACTCTGGAAGAAAGTTTTTTCCTATAACCATCCTCTTCTGTTTAGTTACAATGCTTCTAGTGAAATGACCTAGTGAATGATGGATGTTTAATCTCTGAGAAAGTAAAATCACTAATCGAACTGGTTTTAGTCTTGCAAAATGGTAAAGGGTGAGGGGTTTTTTTTTTTTTTGGGCGTATTTCGCTGTCGTCAAGAGTATCATTACTATTGTTATTTGAAGCCTACAGGTACCTGATCGCCTTGCTCTTAATATCCTTTGCCTCTGTCAGTAAAAAAAAACATATTTTAAAAATTTGCTCTTTGTCTGCCTGATTTTGGTTTTGAATGAGCTGTCTATTCAAGGGTGTCAAATTTTTGCTTTTGAATAAACTTACAAGGATGTGTTCCAAGATGTTCTCAATGTGCAGAGTTCTGCTCATAGGCTTAAACGTTTTTATATTTGTTGTTGGTTTTCTGGAGTTCTGTTCAAAAGATCTCTTGGTGGTTAGTGTAATCATTTCCTGCGTTTTCTGTTCTCTGTGGCAGAATTAATTTGTTGTTACTCTTGAACTTGTTTATTTTAAACATACAACTTGAGGGATTACAACCAAGCCAAAGCTCTCTTCACTCCTTGTAAATTTCTCCAGATAACTTATCTGAAGATGGTCCATAACTATGATAGGTAGTCCATTTCACTCCTTCTGATCTCACTCTGTTGCAGATCTGCAAGAAATGCAGATTGTGTCTTCCTTTTTCTACTTGAGTAGTACAGATTTAATTGTGTTAGTGAATGCAATAAGTAAACATATGATTTGCTTGATGATTATGATGGTAGATGATTCTGTTTATTTATAGAAAGCACACACATGCAAGTGCCATATTGAGGGATTCATGTTATTTTCAATTTTTGTGTTTTGGTTGCAGAAGACCACATTATCTGAAGGTTTGTTCTGAGTACTTTTTTTTTTTGGTTTTTTCTTGTTCTTTCTTTGGCAGATACCTGGAAACACCGGATGCATCGCCAGAACTTGTGCAGCTTCAGCTGTTGGATTACACCTAGTTGGGGTAGTTATTTCAAGCTACTTTTATTTCGGTACCTCCATCAATTCATTTATTCTCTAAAACATATGTATAATCATTTACTCTCTTTTCAGCCATTGGGGTTCCAGGTTGACGACACAAAATTAAAACGTGCTGGACTTGATTACTGGCCGTATCCTTGTGTAAAACATCCATAAGTGTTATAGATGCAATCCACATAATTTGATCTTGTACCTTTTTTAAGTTCAATTGTATTGCGTTGTGCCACGTTTTTCATTGCCAAAATCTGGATCATTTGACATTTTCTTAGAAAGAAACTCTCTTTATGTGTTCTAGTATGCTTTTCACTTCTGCTTTTAGCTTGCTGGCGGGGCGGGGGTGTGAGGGTTTGACTGTGTGATTCTTTCACTGCTAGTTTCATAATCAGCTTCTTCAACTGTGTGGTTCTTTAACTGCAGCTAGTAATAGTTTAATAATCAGCTTCTTAAAAGATAAAGCAAAATATAATATACCTTAATAAACCAAGGTTTTCTATCTGGCTCATCTACTCGTAAGCTAAAAATTAAAGATTTTTTGGACAAGTTGCAGTTTGTCATCATCCTTTAAATGTAGCCAACATGTGATATGTACGACATTTGACACGGAAAACTTTTGAAGCCTTGACTTGCAATCAGATATGTTGTTGTTAAGGTACATAACTCATGGGCAGAATTTCGGGACTACTTCGAACAGCAGGTTGTTTACTCCTTTCAGTTAACTAGAGGGCCTTCTTTTGCATACTGTCCAGCTCAGCTTATTCATATTCTCTTACTTATAGGTTGGTGAAAAAAGGCTGCTTGCATTTTCTAAGCGAGGAGCAAAAGTTCATTCAGTGAGTTTCCCCATAAATTCATTGTACCATCATGTTAAGTTATCAATTCTAGGCAACTGAATGACTTTTGGATTGAACAAACAGAATAAAAAATCCTCTGGTGTCTATTGAAATTGCAGAAGCATATTTTCTCCTGCTTCTTCCTTCTTTGTCCACATATAGCAATGTTATGAGTTGGAGGAAAGTGTTCTGATATAGTTCATGTTCTTTAAAGCAATGATAACTTTGTTGTCAAACGAAAAATGAGAGTACAACTTAAATTTTGAAAACATAACCAATGTTTTGCTTTTTCACTATGGAATTTGCCATCAACTTATTGAGATTGTAGATATTTATTTATTGTTGAAAGCACTCTTCCAAAGTATAAAGAGAATATGCAAACTTCTAGTTTTGTGGAAGCAATGGGTTTTTGGTTGGATACCATGAACAAAGTGATGTTTAAATATCATGCTCCTCTTTTTAGGCTTTTTTGTTTGCAAAGAATCTCAATGTGTAATGTTATTTGCATGCCTTACGTGTGTCCTTCAATGTGAGATAATGTTGGAAAGTAAGTTGTATGGTAAATCTCCCGTTACCTGTCTTGTTCAATTCCAAATTTTTTTAAATTTTTTTTTTTTTTTGTAAGAAAGGAATGCATTTGTCGTGGCTTTTTAAAGTATTTTTCAGCTTCCAGATATTATCTGCATTGATCGCTTACAAGTTGAAGTTCATCAGTAACTTTTATCCCCTACATTCGAAAATGCTTAATGTTTTGGCCTCAACATTCACACTAGTACATGTATGCTGGCTGTAGTGCATCTAGCGCAGTATATTTTGTTTCAGAAAAACTTGGCTTGATCTTTCACTCATAACAACAATCCAATCTGTTGTGTCTCATTTATCATAGTTCATTGTATTAGGGAATGTTTAATGGTTTGATCCTCGTTGGATTCATTTTCGTTCTTAAGATAATAAGATTAATCAATTTATGCAGGAGGTCACTTACAGAAAGGGTGATTGGCTTGTGTTTGGCTCAGAGACTAGTGGGTTACCTCCGGAAGCCTTGCTTGACTGTAAAACAGAACCATATGGAGGTGGTGCGATACGAATTCCCATGGTCGAAACATACGTAAGATGTCTCAATTTATCTGTTAGTGTCGGGATTGCACTGTATGAAGCTGCCAGACAGCTAAACTATGAGCAACTGCAGACTCCGTCAAAACCTTACAATGGTACTGAATCTACCGAACCTTCATTTCTTACTGAAGACATTTTTGCTTGAGCACATGATTTTGAATGTAGAACGTTTTAGGTTAGTCTGGAATCTGGATTTAGTATCTTGGATAAAAAATGGCTTTCATAAAACATTTACCACTTGCTCTGTAGATCAGTTTAGGTCTCCAAAAGTATACGTTTAAGGGCTCAATTTTTATTTATTTGTTTTTTTAAATCACATTAAGGCAGCAGATTGTAACATGTTGTAATGTATTACTGTATTTGGTGCAATGAAGACAATAAGTCTAAAGGTAGAAAATTTTCCTGCTGAAACCAAGGCAGTCCTGTTGATTATTGGTTGTGCTGCTCATACAGAACGAAATTCCTCTAGGCAAGAGATGGGCAACAGAAAATGCCAAAAAGGGCTATAGTTGCACTTAATTTGTCTTTTGAATAGTGAAATAATGATAGATTGCTCGTCAAGACTTTTCAGTTATGGGTTAATTAACGAGGCCTTTTTGCGTATGTTAATACTATGAATCGGCTTTTTTTTTTTTTTCTGGTAAACTGGAATAGATTACGAATTAACTTGCGACTTGAGACTGACAGTGATGAGAAAATTTTTGTAGTAGTTATAAATGAAAAGAGCAATGATACATGTAGCGTAATATTATAATGAATTTAGATAGCGACAAATAAAAAGACAAATATGCCACACACTTACTAAATATTAACAAAGGTAAAAGTATAATTTTCGGGAAAAATAAAACTTTAACAGTAAGTGGCAAAAAATTAGGGGTATTAATCTACATCATTTTGTCACTATTTTTATTCACTATATCTATCATTTTCCAAATAAAATTGTTTCTAGAAAGGGGAGGGACGTAACATTTCTCTATGGACAAGTCGTGCTGGACTTTTTCCATTATCCCTACCTACAAAGCCCAAAAGACGTAAGAATTTACATTGAAACCTGGGGCCCATGTTCACTTGGAATTAATTAAGAATTCATAAATTGGCGCCACCCTAGCATTAAGATCTGTCAGGAATGCTAATGTTGTTGAATGGAATAATTTATTCAAAGAGTTGTATTGCATTTTGTAATGATACAGCAGACTGTAACCATTTTTATTTTTTTTTTTCAATCAATGGATTGTACTCCAATTTGTAAACAAAGATCGACATTCAGACTAAAACCCAAGTTTAAACATTTTTTTCTTTTTGTTCTTTCTTATTGTAGAAAAGTTTAAGTATTTCAAGTTACACAAACTATAATATTCATAGTAACCAAGTGTCAGACTTAAAAAGTGGGAATAGAAAATTTCCAAATGGTACATTTTAGACATTAGTATTTTCTTTCAACCATTTTGATATTAAAAATAAAATATGAGATTTTCTTTAATTCGTCCCTTTCATGAAATTTGGTATAAAACACTCTGTCCCAATTGATCGTTCAATAAATTTTCTCGAAATTTTTATTTGGAATCTATTCTAATTCGAGAAATGTTCACACTCGGACATGAAATGATTAATTTAACTCCAACAGACTGTTGGGCTGGTTTTTCCCTCAACTGGGCCCAGTATTGCGTGAAACCAAAAGCCAATTTGGCTTAGGTTTTGGTTGTTGACCGGGGACAACAAAACCCATCTTAATAGGGTTTGGGTTTTGGTTTTCTCGGCTTATAAAAGCAAGATGGTCTTTGGTTTTTTAGCTGTGAGTTCAGCCAAGAAAAAGGTAGCCGTGCAAATTCTTTGTGCACGAGAGAAAAGAGAGAAAGCTAGGGTTTCCGGGGATTTCGACTTTGTGAGAAGAAAGTATTTCACTTTGAGACTTTGATCGGGTGACAAAACAGAGTCAACTGTTGGTGCAAGTTTGCATGTGTATTCCTTTCAACAAGATCTACAATTCATCCGGTTCAGTTTTTAGTTTAACTCTTTTTGGTGAGATCCTTCTAATCCTACTTTGTGATAGATGTTGTGGAAGAGTATTGTTGTAATCTACCTTTGGTTGAAGTCCTGTGTATCCACCGATTGGTGAAGACTGTTTTCCCATTATTGTGATAGTGGAGATTTGATTGTTATTACAGTCCCGTGATTTTTCTCAATTTGGATTTTTCACGTAAATCTTTGTGTCTATTTTACTTTATCAGTTCTTGAATTATTTGCTTGTTTGGTTGGTTGTCCTATTTTATTAGTAGTAGGAAATGAGATTTTTCTTCGGGTTCCCTTCCGTAGTATATTGAGTTTATGCCCTTTCCGCCGCAACAGTGGCATTAGAGCTACGGTTCGGTAATTAAGGTGTTACACCAATAAAATGAAAGAGTCATCAGGGGTTGGTACGATGATTAAATTGACTTCATCCAATTATCATATGTGAAAGTTTAGAATGGAAGACTTGTTGTATTGCAAAGATTTGTTTGATCCTGTTCTAGTGGATGAAGGTAGGCCAAGTGATATGACTGATAAGAAGTGAGTTGATATGCATAGGAAGACTGTTGGTAATATTCGACAGTAGATTGATCAAATTGTGTTTCATCACTTTTCGGGAGAACCAAAATCTAATGAACTTGGGGAGAAAATCTAGAACATATACTGAAAGAAGTCCGGCATCAATAAGTCATCTGCGCTGAAACAGATTACCAGATTGAGGTTCAAAGATGGTGCTAGCATGAATGAGCACTTCAGTTCGTTTCAGGGTTTATTGAACCAGGCAATGTATGTAGGTTTAAAGTTGGATGATGAGGTGCAAGCTTTGGTGTTGTTTAGTTCTCTTCCAGACAGTTGGGATACTCTGGTAGTGTTAATCAGTAATTCAACCAAGGATGATGTCTTGACCTTGGATCAGGTCAAAGAGGCTTTGATGAATGAAGAAGTCAGAAGAAAAGAGCAGAGTATTGAGTCTGAGTCGCAGGCTCTGGTGACAGAAAAGTCAGACAGAAGAGGGAGAAGTAAAAGCAGAGCGCCACGTGATCAGAACGACAAGTACATGGGACGGTCTAAATCTAAGAAAGATGTCATGTGCTACCATTGTCAAGGGAATGGGCACTTTAAAAAGAAGTGCAGGGTTCTTAAGAGAGAAGTAGCAGTGAGAAAAAGTAAAGACAAGAAAGATGAATCCAAAGATGATGACACTACTGCAGTAGTAACTACCAGTGATGTATTCGTGTACTATAATAATGATACAATTAATGTTGCGAGTCACGACAGTGATTGGTTCGTTGATTCAAATGCGTCTTATCATGTGACACCTCACAGACACTTTTTCATCTCTTACACACCTGTAGATTTTGTTCGTGTAAGAATGGGTAACCAAGCCTCATGCGATGTTGTCAGCATGGGAGAGGTATCATTGTTAACAAATACAGGTTTGTACTCTTGTCTGAAGAATGTCAGACATGTTCCGCATATGCGTTTGAACCTTATTTCCGTTGGCAAACTTGATGATGAAGGTTATCATAGCAATGAAGGTGGTGACCATTGGACAATTACCAGAGGGAATCTTGTTATTGCTAGAGGAAAGAAATTGAACTCTTTGTATGTGTTGAATGTAAAGTTGAAGAATGAAGAGATAAATGCAACTCATAATGCCTACATTGATCTCTGGCACAGAAGGCTTGGACACATAAGTGTCAAGGGGCTACAGATTCTTGGTAAGAAGCAATTCCTCCCTGAGGTAAAAGGTACTACTCTAGAACCTTGTATTGACTGTATCTATGGTAAACAACATAGGGTTTCCTTTCAAAATTCTCCTCCATCTAGAAAGTCTAGTCTTCTAGAGTTAGTTCATCCATATGTATGTTACATGAAAGATAGATCTTTGGGTGGTGCATAGTACTTTGTTACTTTCATTGATAACTATACTCGAAAGGTTTGGTGTTTTTCTTTGCAATCTAAAGATCATGTACTAGATGTGTTCAAAGACTTTCACCTTAGAGTTGCAAGAGAGACTAGCAAGAAGTTGAAGTGTGTTCGAGCAGATAATGGTAGTGAATACATGGGTCTGTTTGAGAAGTATTGCCGAGACCATGGCATTAACTTAAGAAGAGTGTTCCGAAGACTCCACAGCAGAATGTCGTAGCAGAAAGAATGAACAGAACTATTACCGAAAAGGTTAGGTGTATGCTCTTGAATGCAAAGCTGCCTAAATCTTTTTGGGGTGAAGCCATGTAGATAGCAGTTGATTTAATCAACCTATCTCCCTCAATTCCGTTGGATGGTGATCTACCACAGCGAGTTTGGACAGGGAAAGATGTCTCATTTAGGCATTTGCGAGTTTTTTGTTGTCGTGCCTTTGTTCATATTCCCAAAGACGAAAGGACGAAGCTTGATGGCAAATCCAAGCAGTGTGTATTCTTGGGGTATGGCAATGATGACTTTGGATACAGACTTTAGGATCCTGTAGAGAAATCAATTTTCAAAAGCAGAGATGTGATCTTCTTTGAAGACCAGACCATTGATAATATGGAAAAGAGCGAGATGCCAAAATCTTTACCAAAGATTCTTGTTGATCTAGATCCACTTTCTCCATAATCAAATGATTCTCCAAAAGGGAGAGCTGAGACAGAGCAGAAAGGTGAGTTTGATGATGATCCTGCTACTGAAATCAAGACATCACCAGTTTCATCACCTCCTGTTTAGCCTAGGAGGTCCACCAGAGACAAGAGACCTTCCACCAGATACAGTGCTCATAAGTATTTATTGTTTACTGATGGGGGAGAGTCAGAGTCGTATGAGAAGGTTCTTATTCATGAGCAGAAAGATCAGTGGTTAGCAGCCATGCAAGATGAGATCAAATCCTTGTATAAGAATAACACGTATGACCTGGTGAAACTGTCTACCGGCAAGAGATCACTCAAGAATAAATGGGTGTTCAGACTAAAAATAAGTGAGAATAGCTCACAACTGAGGTACAAAGCTAGATTGGTTGTGAAGGGATTCAATCAGAGAAAGGGCGTAAACTTTGATGAGATATTCTCTCCTGTTGTAAAGATGTCTTCGATCCAAGTTGTACTTGGGATAGCGGCCAGCTTAAATTTTGAGATTGAATAGCTTGATGTGAAGTCAGCC